CTCCCCTCCCCAGCGGGAATGTACGTGCATACGGGCCTAAGACAGCCGTATGTTCCAAAATAAAACTAAAATATGTGACAAAAACTAACACTCTTTATATGCTTCCTTAGGAGGCGGTAGTTTCCATATTCTTTCTTGCATACGCTGCACTGAAAATCTGTGCGGCCTAAAGAGTGAAATAACCACCGAGAACACTCAAGAAATTTAGAAAAGCCTGCTATTGATTGAAAAAAAAGCAATCTAACTTTGACATGGTGGAGGCTCAAAAATGGGTGATAATGTCGTAAACTCACCCTGGTTGTTTTCACGGATCCCTCGCAAAGATTCTTTCGAAGGTGCGGAAAAATCGACGATCGAAGAGGGTGCTTCTGAGCAACTAGAAGTCGAAACACAATCCGAGATTGTTGTCGTCGTGCAACTTGCTTCGTATCTACCCTCCAACAAAGACTTTCGCAGATCTATAATACAAAACTTTAAATGAAACAATAAGCGTGATCATATAGGATTTTTCGGATGCATAAAAAGTTTAAGGTTTTAAATTGTAAAAAAATCGTAATAACAAAATTATTTTCAATCAAGCGGGCTCATAAAAGCAACACACCTTGTTCTAATTCAGATCGGTCATGCATTGACGAAAAATGACTGTCCATATCACCAAGTAGAAAGCGAACGGAACATCCAGGAATAGGGCATTCTATTCCAGATTCATGAGCGCTATAATTTCAATCTCATTCGGAGACACCGGAAATCAAAATGAAACATACTTTTGCACATGCGAGTTGTAATCTTCTAGCTCATCGGTCTCAAAACTGCACTGTGAACATTTCAGTGTCAGGTCAGCTTCAATCCTTGGGGAAGAAGAGTCGGACGAAGAGTTCTTCAATGCAAAAAGAAGGTGCTCTTGTTCCAAATGAGCTCTGAACAAAACTTCATACAGGCGAATTTTCCAATTGAAACATACCGTAATCGCCAACGTGAGACGCGCTTGTTGCATCCTGCTATAGTGCACATCATACCTCTCTCATGATTGGCAATGGTGTGCTTGCGGACATAAGCTCGAATCTAAAATATGTGACTAACAAAAAAACGAAAAAATCCGAAAAGCTCCAAAAATGACGAACCTTGTGTGAATATTCACAAAACTGGCACTTATGTGTCTTAGGATGCTCGAGAGAAATATGTTTACGCAGCAATGAGTATGTACTGAACTTCGCATGACAGTCAGGGCAACAATGCGAATCTAAAATACATCGACTGCATTAGGCAAACACCATACTTGATCCACTTGCCCACTTAGAGGCAGTGGACAGGCAAAACGACCCCTCTCAGATTTTGGCGAAGTTAGGTAGTAGACCCCGCAAGCACACCGTAGCTCAAACCCCACCTGCCAATTCAGCTAAACAGGGAACGATACCAGCTGACCCCAACCAATCAAGATGA